GACCAGGGTGTAAAACATGACTGTGAACTTGTTAACATCCTGTCCATGTGAGAATTTACAGCTGTTACTTAACATATTAGAATGTTGTTTAAAATTCCACTGTGTGCAACTTCTAAATGAAGAGAGTAGAGGTTCTCCGGAGTAAAAACTGAGAGCTAGGTGAGATGTGGATGCACAGTGGAAGTGGGGAGGGCTAGAAATGATTCCTCAGGGAGTGCAAGGTCTGCTCCTTCACACTCTCCTCAGGGTGCCTGGGCCTGGTTTCTTTTCTCAAGTACTAGACAGTTATTTTAGGGCAATAATATGCAGCCCACAAGGCCATAGTAGATGCAACAAAATACAGGACTATGTAGCACTTTAAAGACTAACAAGATGGTTTATTAGATGATGAGCTTTCGTGGGCCAGACCCACTTCCTCAGATCAAATAGTGGAAGAAAATAGTCACAGCCATATATACCAAAGGATACAATTTAAAAAAATGAACACATATGAAAAGGACAAATCACATTTCAGAACAGAATGTGATTTGTCCTTTTCATATGTGTTCATTTTTTTAAATTGTATCCTTTGGTATATATGGCTGTGACTATTTTCTTCCACTATTTGATCTGAGGAAGTGGGTCTGGCCCACGAAAGCTCATCATCTAATAAACCATCTTGTTAGTCTTTAAAGTGCTACATAGTCCTGTATTTTGTTTCAGCTACACCAGACTAACACGGCTACATTTCTATCACTATAGTAGATGCAGTGCATCTCTGTGTGTCTGGGAGGCAGCCCCATAAGGCAGTGTGCTACCTCTTACTACAGCACTTGTCTACAAGTGACAATTGAGCCTTGAGTTGAGAAGCTCAGGATCTGGCCATCTGTGATTAGTTTTTTCATGTGAACTTACTGTTGTGAAGTCTTATTTGTGAGACTTTAAAGGGATTCACCCCCAAAAAAGAAAATTGCTAGTTTAGAACAATGAAAGCACGACTATAACATGCTGATGTGTGTACAAAAGTGCTTCTGATAATTACTGGAATTCCAGGGACATAAAATGGGTTTTCATTTGTCCCTGGTAAAAGATTCTTGCAACATGTTCCAAGTCGTTTTATTACCTTTTTTTTTTGTTAAGTCTTATATGTACTCTGTTGCAAAATGAGCAGCAATATATTACAACCTGTAAATACTCTCTGCTAATTTTTTTTATGATAGCAGAAAGAAGTATAAAACTGAATACCAGATTTGCATTTTTAAAAGAATGTTCTCCTTTTGCTATATTGCTATAGCACTATTTTATGTTGTATCTCAACATCTAAATCCTAGGAGAATTACTGTTAAACCTGCTTGTCGCTGAGAGGGATCGTGTAAATCCTGGAAGGTACTATAGTAAGGCGATAATGGATAGGTCACCATAATTACAGTATATTCTCTCATACAAGCAGCCAGTTGCTTCTGCACATTGTAAATTTTTCATTTTCTTTTCAAATTCAGTGTTTCTGTTAAAACTTAATATTAAAACTGATGAATATTAATATTAAAACTGATGAAAGACATATCTGGAGTCAAGCACATCCATCTTTCCGCTTTAAAATAGTAAGCATTTTATGTATCATTACCTCTATTCATTTGCCTTTATTAGAGTGTGCTGGGTAATATTTGTTTTATTCACTTTCATTATTTGCATACTGAGACAAATTCAGCCCTGGTGTAACACTGCTGAAGCAATTTGAGTTACACCAGAGGTGAATTTAGTTCCCTGTCTCTCATTGATGTGCTTGCTGTTCAAAACATACCTGTTCTAATATTTGCAAGCAATGCCTATCACAAAAGAAATGTAGGTAATCCAACACATGCATCTAAAAACTTGAAAAAAATAAGGAAAGCAGAAAGCTTATTTTAAAAGTTTTATATGGACTAAAGTTATAGACATTTTACATAAACCCTTGTCCCCAAAACGCTTATACTTTGAATGGTTAGAATTTAAATGTTGAAAATATTGTAAAGTCTTATATTGAATTAAAATTTATGTGGAAATGTAAGATGAACATAGTTGAGGGATTCTCTTGCCCCTCATCTGTACCATTGCTGATAGGGAAGAGTGTTATTTTGTTTCATTGAGATACTTATAGATAATACAACTTTGGGTGGACTAAAATGTAGCAAGTGGCAGGTACCTATATGATCAAACTGTGTCCCCAGACAAAGGAAACCTGAGCTCTCCTTGAAAGGACACTCTATTTTTCTGACCTCTTCTTTCACCCAAGTTACTTTCTTTAGACATTTGATAATGATTGAATAGACCAGTAAAATCTTATGCAATCTCAATGGCTTAACTCTTATCTTTGGTACTAGAAGCTTTACTTTAAGCAGGGTAATTTTATTTCCCCTGAGAGTCTTCCCTCAAGGGATTAATTTCCTCTAATATTGTGGGCTACCATTAATCAACTTGCTTCTTTTGAGCAAGGTTCCCCTAAGGGAGCGACAGCGAACTACGGTAGTTTTTTCCCCCCCTAAACTAGTTGGCTGCCTCCTTTTTTTTCTTGAAACAATTTTTCCGTAAGAAAGTCTGGTGTTTTGTGAAAGAGTGACAATTTTGCTTGGTTAGTAGCTCCCACCCTTCCTTGTTATAGACAAGCTTGAATACACACAAACTGTGTGCTATGTTTTCACTATGTTATCTTCTTTTAAATTGGAACAATCAGCATGACTGGAGATCTTTATGTTTTCTTTGTGTTTCCCATAGTGCCAGGCTTCCCTTACCCTGCTGCAACTGCAGCTGCTGCTTACAGAGGTGCACATCTAAGAGGTCGAGGTCGCACAGTGTACAACACGTTTCGTGCAGCAGCCCCCCCTCCTCCAATTCCAGCCTATGGCGGGGAAGTGGCTCAGTCTCTTTTACCTGTTACAATACATCCCCAAAGGCTATGAACTGTTTATGAGTGCAGTGCATGCTGGTCTTGTCTTACCACAGAAACCAACACAGCATGCAACCAATCTAACTGCCTGAAGTGGTGCACCTTGCACAGAGTATTGAAAAATGACTGTAATTTGTACTGTCATGGTTGGTGGCTTTAAGCATTTTATATGTCACATGTTGTTATGTAAATTCTCTTAGAGACCGAATGCTACAGAACAGAGAAATTTACAGCTAAAAGTGTATTTTTCGTGATTGCAAACATCTGGTTATTAAGGAGGTCGGATGAAGTAAACTTTCTTTTTTTTTTTTCAAATTCAAATTCTCCTACAGAAAGTTATCTCAGGAAACCTAGAGGGAGTATGTGTTTATTTTATTTATGTGTTTATTGTACATAAAAATCAGCTTTGTTTCATAGTTTCATAGTAACATATCTTCACCGACATTTACTGAAAACCTAGTTGCAAAATAAACACACTGAAATCTATATTAAATTAGAACTTAATAAACTGCATTCATCTAATTAGGAACATCTTAATCTTTTGAAGAGTGAGAGGTAATTATGGGGAGGATGGAGGATCTTCACAGCTCCTTTTGGCCCCTGAAAATGTTGAAACAATATTTGATCATTGCACGTGGCCATGAAAACACACTTATGTTAAGACTTGATTCTGTCAGAGGACTCCTAGAATTTGCAGAATCTTGTTGTTGAAGTAGAGGGTGTGTCCAGCCTCCCAGCCCAAAACAGCCTACCATTAAAAACAGGCCATCGTTTGTAGATCTCACATTACCCACTATGTCATTCTGATAAGTGGCTTGTATTTGTGACTGGTTGGACACAGTTCTCATTAAACATTGTGTCCTGCTAGGCAAAAATGCAGGCCAGTTACTAGATAGGTTCCTAAGTACGTGCAGTCAGGTACTGCCCTGACCCGCAGCCTCTGGAGATATCAGGCACTGGCTACCTGATACTTCATCTGCATCTGGCTTTGTCACCTACCAAGAAAGAAACAGAGCAGTTATAGTGAGCTTTTTCATTAGAAGAAATTAAGTAATCAGCCACCAAATACATTTATTAAATTGCTTCCTGGGGTGGTTTGTGCAATGCAGCAAAAAGAAAATCTGCCATGTATCTAATGTAGAAGGACAGAAAGATTTTTGCTATGATTGGCTGCAGCTATCTTTTCCAGTACCAAACCAATGACAAGCGAGTGAGTGAAGGGAATCCTTGCTGGGATTGGAGCAGGCTTAGCCTCCCTTCCCCATAATGACAAATCTGGGCCATCTTGGTCTCACCCAGTTACACAAATCCATAAAGGCTACCAGACTCATCTACTTCTACATAATATGGCAACAGTTCATGTCCCCCCCTCCACTGACCCTGACAGACAGGATGTTTAGGAATCTGTGAGCTGAATAACCAACACTTCATTCCCTGGCCTTTATGGGTATTTCTGCATTGTGCCTGGGAGCAAGACTTGTACTAGCTTAACTGAAGTTAGCCCACTAAAAATAGCAGTATAGATGTTGTGACCACAGCAAAGGCTCAGACTAGCCACTTGAGATCAAATCCAATGCAGTGGGTGGACTTGAGTGTCCAAGCTGTTACCTGAACCACAATATCATAAGAACATAAGAACGGCCATACTGGGTCAGACCAAAGGTCCATCTAGCCCAGTATCCTGTTTACCGACAGTGGCCAGCACCAGGTGCCCCAGAGAGGGTGGACCGAAGACAATGATCAAGCAATTTGTCTCCTGCCATCCCTCTCCAGCCTCTGACAGACAGAGGCCAAGGACACCATTTTATCCCCTGGCTAATAGCCTTTTATGGACCTAACCTCCATGAAATTATTTAGCTTCTCTTTAAACTCTATTATGGTCCTAGCCTTCCCAGCCTCCTCTGGCAAGGAGTTCCACAGGTTGACTACACGCTGTGTGAAGAAGAACTTTCTTTTATTAGTTTTAAACCTGCTCCCCATTATGTTCTTATGTTCTTATGTTAAGTTACAGAAAGAAAACAACCAAGAATGGGAAACTCATGGATTGCAAACACCAACAAAAGATCAAGTAGGAAACCCTTTAATGGGGCCCAAGCACAGCACGTCCCACAAAACCACGTCTAATGGTCAAGCATCTGTTCTGCCCCATAATGCTAATGATGGTGAGAATGTGGGTAAAATGTCACAGATGCTGGTTTACTTCCCTGGGCCTGCTCATCAATTATTATTGGAAACCAGTCTGTCAGTCATTTTGGTCTGCATATTAGTCCCTGCATATTATCTCCTGAAGCATGCTGGGTGGGTGGGAAGAAGGGCACCCATATCCTCCTTCTCCCAAACTGCAGAAGTAATGACCTAGCTTAAAATGGTCAGGCTGAATTACATTCATAGAATTAGAATAATACGATATTAAGGCTGCTTCATTGAAATTGCAAGAAGTCACACAATGTGAATGTCAAGGTTTCTACAAAAAAATTAACTTGCCCACATTGCATATCTTACATATTTTAGTATATATTTAACAACAGAAAAAGTTATCTAGATTAGGGATGTGATAGTGTAGTCAATGAATCAATTAACTGATAAACAGAAGTTTATAGATTATTGCTATAGACTACATGCATTCCCTCCTTGCCCTCCCTTCCCCCCAAGCCAGTACATTTTTTAGTAGGCTGGCCAGCTTCCTGTCTCAGTCCTGGCTTGCTAAATGTCCGGGACCTCTCCCACTGCGGCTCTGCATTTAAAGTGTGTTAGAAATAGGCGGGCAGGCAACCTAGCTCAGTTCTGGCTCATGCTGGGTCCGGGAGCTCAGACACACTTCCCCTCTGGACTGGTGCTGCTGCCACCCTTGTATCAAAGGCAGCAGCACAGGGTGATTTGTTTTTAAACTGGCTCTTCTTGTGGACTAGGTCCTGCCTGGAACCCTGCTCTGCTGCCTCTGTATCTGAGGCAGCAGTACAGAATGGCAGAGGCTCCCCCGGAGGGGCCTGCACAAGAGCAATGTCATTGTTGATTTAGCTTCTTGTTCATGTTACTATGTTTGATAGGTATTTTTATGATCTGAAGACTAGATATTTTCTCTAGAGACACTAACCAAAAATAAAGGACGAAAAAGGAGACTCCCCAAAAAGAAAGTTGAAACAAAATACAGGTCTATGTAGCACTTTAAAGACTAACAAGATGGTTTATTAGGTGATGAGCTTTCGTGGGCCAGACCCACTTCCTCAGATCAAATAGTGGAAGAAAATTGGCACAACCATATATAACAAAGGATACAATTAAATATGGTTGTGCCAATTTTCTTCCACTATTTGATCTGTGGAAGTGGGTCTGCCCCATGAAACCTCATCATCTAATAAACCATCTTGTTAGTCTTTAAAGTGCTACATAGACCTGTATTTTGATAAGAATTCATGAGGTTACTCGACTATTCGATTAACTGATATTTAACATCCCTAATCTAGAAACACAGACTGACAAAAACAGAAATAGAGGTTCAACCTCACCAAGCTAATGGTGCTTTTGAAATCTTATGTTGTTATGCTGTTAACAACACTAAGTTATTTTACATTATATATTTTTTTCTAATTAACATATTAAAAAAACACTATCAGCAGATATTGGATTCAGGGGAGGAGGGAAAATAGTGCAACTATTCCTAGCTCTGGTTAAAAACTAAGTTCCACCCACTCACTGAGTTTGTCAAAAATTACTCACTGAACTGAAGATTGTGCTGATGATGTTGAAAATATGATTGTGCATTTTGGTTTGCTTCACCAATCAAAAATGCTTGTGAACCCTTTGACATTGTGGATGTCAAAGGGTACCCTAGACGTACCCTAACAGTGTCTATTAACCAGGACTAGAAGGGATGGTTTCTAGTCTCTATTTGCAAAAAACTAGGAATGGGCAAAAAGATCACTTGGTGATTTCCTGTCTGTTCATTCCCTCGGAAGAAGCTGAGATTGGCAATTGCTGGAAAGCGGCACACTGGGCTGGCAGGGTCATTGATCTGATCCAGTATGGCCATCCTTATGTTCTTACATGCCCAGCTTCTCGCAGGTATGCCTTCCCAGGATCCTAATCTTCCTCAGATTTCTCCGTAGGAGAGTCCTTCTTTCTTCTCCATTCCTGCCACTGTTTCCGTCATGTTTTGTCACTGCTATTGCTCTCCATTGTTTCTCTATTTGACACCAACATCCAGTTTGCCTCACTGACAGTTTACAATTAAGATTTGAAGCTGACAATAGGGAGACAAATTATTTGGATCCTAGAGAGTTTCTGACAGTAGGAAGATGAGGTAGATTACTACTCCAGTCAAAAGTCCTACTCTACTGTCCCTTTCAGTTGCTTGGAAACTATTACCAGGCTAGCAAACTTTCCCAGGTCCTTGAAATTATTGTAAGACAGACAGTTATATAAGGGCTAATTTACTATATACTCCAGTAACTGAGCCGATGACAATTATCTCACCGGAAAATAAATGTACCTCTCATATACACTTGCACTTTGTATATTGAACAGGTAAACATTAAATTAAAATTATATGGTTGAGTCTTACATGTCTGTGTTATAAATCACAGAACAGTGCACCTACTTTAAAATTAAAATTTGGTTCTTAGAAATGAACGTGGTGCTTTTGAGGCATAACCATGCATACCTAATTAATGGCTCTTTCACTTGAGAGTTAGGCATTTCTGCAACTCATGGAAATAACTTCCGTTTTGTTAACTCATGGAAAATATTTTGGTTTTGCCATTCTGAGCATCGCTTTAAAATGGTGCAATGTTGAGCTTGTGGAAAACTTACCCTGCTTCTTTCTGTGCTGCAAAAGTCCTCTTTGAAATGTAACAGGAGTCAGGTTCAGTCTGGGTGATCAAGGAGGATGCTGAAATTTACAATACTGCATTTGGCAGGAATCGTATCAGTTCGAGACCATGTTGTGGGAGAAATAGTGGGAA